AGAATGTCCTGGGTGGAAAAAAATCAAAAAATTAATTAATTAGCGGGGGAGGGACGTCTATTAGGCACCAAAAAGTATACAAGACAGCCTCCATTAGCCAACATGATTTCCCAAAGCAGTGAATAAGTGATACAGTGGAAACCTGATATAACGAACTCTGAAGGGAACCAGGTAGTTTTCGCTCTATCGAGAGTTCGTTACAGAAAGAAGAATTTTTTATTAGGTCTTTACACGGTATGCGCCTCAAAAGCCCTTCCGTGCGAATGTTAAGGCGATGTTCTGGATTTTTAAAAATGCTTTTTTAGAATAAAAGCTTGCAAGAAGAAAATTTCTAAATTGAAATACCATCTTGGCAAAAATAGCTGAGCGCATTTGAACGAAAAAGGAGCTCGCGTGCTCTATCGTCATATTATACGCGCTGGTGACCTAACCCCCCCCCCCCCCCCCGGGGTCAATGTTGGTTTAGGTGGTTACGGAATAAGTGGGGACTACAACATTGGCTACCAATCCCAACACAATATTGATTCGATGGGAAGGGGGGAGGGTAGGTGATTTGTAAGTGTCATCTTCTTTGCAAGTGTTTTAGCATTTTGAAAATCAATTACCTTCTTTTATAATGTGTATTTCAAATTACTCTCAAGGCAATCTCCTGAAAATTTTACACATGGAGGGGGATTTTCATGAAAGGATCTGAAATTGGGCATGAGAGTCCATTATATCCAAGGGTTTTTCAAACCGAGAAAACTTTAAAAAATTGTAAGGCAGAATCCAAGAGAACAGACATTTAGTTTGTTAAACCGGGTACTTTGCTATATCTGGGGTTCGTTATAGCTGGGTCCGTTATATCGGTATACCACTTTGAGATGTGAACAATGTTGTCAAAACAGATGAAGCCATAGAGTATATGTATCTTTGACTCAGAAAGAGGACACCTTTACACTAAAAAGGGGTTCATTCAAAAAGGGGACTAAAATAAAAGGGGCCTTTAGGACTCAGAAAAAGACCATCAAATGTAGATTTCAGAAATAAAATTACAGTGATTTGAAAGTGGAACTGGATTGGTTCAATGCTCTCTAACTCAGCCAACATTAGTTTCTTCAGCTGTTTATCAAGTATTGTTACCCAATTCTTAAGTTATGAAAGTTGAGGAATTCCAAAAAGTAGAGTTTTAATAGCATACAGAACAAGATTTGACGAAATATACTGAAGGAATAGGCAAGGCATTAACAGTACTAAGATGTGTTCAAAGTGACTGCAAATGAAATTTGTACAAGATATATGATCTAAAAATTCAGCTTCAGAAAATCTACAATAAACTTTTTGAGAAATAAAAAAGGGTTATTAAAATTTGTATATATACGAATGGGTAGTACTTGAAGTAAATCTGGAAAATGCTCAATAAAACATACCTTTCAAGAAGCCATTTTTCAAGAAATCCCAGCTTTTCCAAACTGAGCCAACACACAATATTTTCAAACTTTTGTCTTTCTCAAGCATACCACACTCCATTTTTGGAATAAGGGCCTTGATGTGCTTTCCTAGCCCAACCCCTGCTTCTTCAAGCACATGTAAGCAAAGAGCATCACCCATTTCAGCTCCTTTTACAACAGCCTTCCCACAAAACTTTGCATATTGCTCTTTATTAAAGCCATACAAATGTGTCAACAAATCTTGTTTATGCTTCAAATCAAAGTATGCAAAGAGTTCTTTCTGTATGTAATCCACAGGAAATGGGCTGATTTCAAATCCATCATCATGGTTGAAAAAGATTTTTACTGCCCTATGAGTGATCCAAAAAGCTGATCCTTCATCGCCTACAAAAGAGTATTTACTAGATAAATCTGATGCAGAATTTATTTCATTTTGAAGTCCGACCGTTTCTTATGTTTATTGCATGTTATAAACTGATGTAAAGATAATATTCAATAATAAGCATTGAATCTCCTTCAAGTGCACAAAGCAAATTAAAAGTTTTGATGATATGTCCTGTGTCTTAATGAATTAACCATGAACTCATTCACTCTTAACTCATTAAAAAAAGCAAATCAAAGAGGATGTACTCACCCAGCATATGGCCCCATCCTCCACATTTGTACATTGACCCACACGGGTTTATGAGCAAACAGTTGCTCCCTGTGCCAGCAATCAGAACAATTCCTCCCTTGTCTGTTGCTGTCTCCAATGATCCTACAGTGTCATTGCATGCAAAGCACGCCTCTGTGGCATTTGGAAATCTTGCAACAAGCTTCTCTTCCATCTCTTTCTGCTCTTCCCTCTTATCAGCACCACTTAGTGACAATCCAAGAGATTTCAGCTTTGTTTCCAATGGTATGCCTGCCTTTTTCTTAGCTACCTCCACAAGTTCATTAATTCTTTCAACTGTTTTGTCTAAACCTGAAAAAATAAAAACAATGGTCAAAAGATTTAAGTCTAACCTGCTAAAACTCACCTAGTTGGTCTTGAATTTGTTGCTACCTAGCTTCGGAAGGGTTGCTTTAGGATACTGACAAACTATGCTTATTGAGCAATTTCCTTGTTTTTTTTCTCAATTTTTTTGAACACGCCTTGTTATTCCTGTATTTTCAATCATGCAATCTGTACATGGCCAATAGGGGACTTGCTTAGCCGATGGAAGGCTTGTTTGGGCAACGGGGGGTTCTATATATATAATAAAAAATAGAATATAGACTAGAAATATATATATATAATAATAATAATATATATATAATAAAAAATAGAATATAGACTAGAAATATATATATATAATAATAATAATAATAATAATATATATATAATAAAAAATAGAATATAGACTAGAAATGAGACATGTTCTCTGTTACTCCGAGTTTCGTGCTTGCGCACTCGTCAGACAGACTATAATGAAGAATATTCCTGCTACCGCCGTATAAATATACAAAAGGTGTGATAAAGTTAGACAAAAGAAATTTTATTAGGTACAGGTTAAATAGTTAGGTGGAGTTCTATTGTTCATGAGATAATGAATGTTGTTTTCATGCAACAAATAATTTCTACATGATTTTAGAAGAGGTTTCTGAAAATAAAATAATTTAACAAGAAAAATGCAAGCTTTTAGGTGCTGTTGCATCCTTTTTGTATCATGCTTTCACATAAAAACAAGAGCTAAAAGAATCCATTTCAAACTTTCCATTCCGACTGATATGTTTGAAAACAGGAGTAATTTGAAAAGAAAGACATATAATACATCTTTTTTATGAAAAAAGCAGAAACAGTAATTGGATAGAAAAAATAAAAATAAATGCACAGAAAAAGAAATAAAAAGTCAACTTAAGAGAAAATTAACAAGAAATTAAAAGAAACAAAAGAGTAAAAGGTCAAGATATGGCCCTGTGCATGTGCAAGCATACCTAGGGAGTTTCAGGGGTGTGTGTGGAGGTGTGCAGCTAATAATACCAGGACTGTGGGGCTCTTGGCTGTTAGCATACCTAAGGTCATATGTTGAAAGCAAAATAAACTCCCTGACTCCCTGTCATCTGTACATTTTTAAATAATAAAAAAGGAAGAGAATCCTAGAAATTTGGAAATAAAATAGAAATATGAAAATTTGCCCTGGCAGTCATTGTCTTCATTGGGGAGAAGTGCATGCTGAATTTTACCAATTTAACCTATATACATATGACACCTTGTCACAAAATGGATCCTTTTAGCACCTTTCCTCCTCTCGTGACGTCACCTGAAAACAGGAGGTGCAAAAGGGAGACACTTTGAAAGAAGTTGTAAAATATTTATCGTGCTCTTCATATTTTTATGCCATGGTAAAGATCTAGGCCATGTATAGAACTAGAAGCTTTCTTCTTGATCTTTGCCTCCTCCATTCTAAAGTTGACAAGATTCATCTAGAGTTTAAGGTTTCTCACCTCAGATAAAACAATGGTTTTTAAACAAAAGGTGAACGAGATTACTCGTGAATGATTTGTCTCTCCAAAGTGTTAAAAGTGTCAAGTTTTAAAAGGATAATGTTCCACCCCTTTAGAATAGTGTCACACTTTGTCAAATTCTGCAATACAACGAATCCCCTTCTATTACATGATGCCGTTTTTGTTACAGTGTCATTTCGCTTGACTTCCTTATTGTTCAGAGAAGATATAACGCACATTGTGGATAGCTTGAAAAGGCAGAAAAAGCCCCGTACTGCATACCTACAAGCCATTGATTGGTCGATTCACCCTCCGATCTGGCAACAACAGCACCCGTTTCGTCTATTAAGACCAAGTTAGATCCTGTTCCACCCCCTTCTATGCCTCCAAAATACATCTTCTCGGGTGAAACTGCCATTTTCAAGGTGAGTGGAGTGGATTCGAGAAATCACATGATAGCTCCCCCACTGGTTTTTCTATTTCCCTGACCTCATTTGGACATTGTCTCGTTTTAAATAACAAAATTTCTTGGAAACATTAAATATGGTAACCTCGCTTCCTCGAGTGTTTACATGTGACATTAGCACCTCTAATCAGGGTCATTACAAGAAAGGATGGTGCAGCAAATTAAGTGCACACTAAATTCATGATAACTAACACAAAAAATGTCAAAGTAATTTTCCAATAGCCTTAAACTTTCGATCCGAGATTTCCTTTACATTTATTTCTCTTAATAGAATAAACATATCTTTAGAGGACCAACAAATCAACGCTTAATAGTTGATATCAAAGGGTCCCTGAATATATCTAAACCTTAAAAAATTAATTAACCATCATATCAACACGATATATCCCTTAAACAAAGTAAACGTCTGCATATACACAACACAGTCTGATTCAAGTAAAGCTTTTCCATAAACATTGGACGAAAACTCTCCGGCGTCATCGACAAACACTTTAAAAAACAGGCCAGAGAACATTTCAAAACAAACGCTGTTAAAGATACAGATAAATTGGGAAGCATAATTAAGAACCAAAACAACGACATTTACACTAAAGGAAGGGCGATAAGAAGAAGACCTACCATTGCGAGAAATGGACAAATGCCCAAGGAATGGAGCCGGCCAGACAGGGCCAGTCTAACAGCATAATATACATTGCATTGGTTTACAGCATAGAGGGTAACGTACGTCACTCTAACCTGATTAAATTTTTCAGGCGTTTCCTATCAAATTGCCAGCAAGTATAAGGCAAAGGCCTATTCTTACCTTCCAAACGATGTCTACATTGTCAAGAAGAAAAACTTCCCATATTTAATTTTAGCACGTGTTCCATCTTAAACGAAAAATTGGGATATATTCCTATATGCCAAGAGTCGTAAGTTTAAACAATGCCAACACTCTCGTTGGGTAATTCAAATTATGGACTGATAGAGAGTAGAAATTTTCGACAAATTCAATGAGTTCTTACTAATCAAACCAATCAAACACACAATAATTCCTGCAAAGAACCAACTCTCCAAACTACAGCTTGATACATACTTCTAATCACCTTTGGTAATTATCCAATGTTTTACTTTGGCGAGTGTCACAGGGAAAGTGCTTCAGCATTTTGTGTCTCCTCGTTTCTATGAAATTTTCAAAGCAGTGAAAATTGATAATAAGCCCCAGCCTTGGCATGCCAATTTTTCAAAAATCTTCCTTGTAATCAATAATAAATTGGGTTTTCATTGATAAATGAGAAACTTAAACAAACGAATGATATTTCGATATATTTATGGACAATATTTCATATATGTATACTAAATGTTTCAATATTTCATAAGTTTCGTTTGCCATATTCTGCCATAAAAGCGGAAGAAAGACAAACAGGAATGACAATGCGAAATTGTAAATATTCTACAATTTCTTTCCAATATCATAATAGAACATAACAGACCAGAATTCCCAGTTCCTCAATAGAATGCCATGTGTTTGTAGAGGTGGTGAATATTTTATATTGAAGTGGCAAATAAGAATGAACTACACTGGAATCCCGATACAAAGAACTCTGAAGGGAACCAGAAAATGGCTCGAAATATCATTGTTATATCAGGAGTTCGTTAGACCGGGAGAAAACTTTGTTTAGGTCTTTTCGCAGTTCATTTTGTTGTTTAGGCCTTTGGTGGGCTTGTTTAGGCTATTTCAAACTTCTGTGTAGATTTTACTCCAAAACAAACAAGCTGAGTTCAAATATTACTACTTTGTTTAGATCTTTTCGCAGAAATTTCGATAGAAAACTTTGTTTAGGTCTTTTCGCAGTTCATTTTGTTGTTTAGGCCTTTGGTGGGCTTGTTTAGGCTATCTCAAACTTCTGTGTAGATTTTACTCCAAAACAAACAAGCTGAGTTCAAATATTACTACTGGTTCGTCATTGAAAATGAAAATCTTAATGTTCCTCTTATGATATTGGGACCAAGAGATTGGCAAAGCTGGTATCACTTCATTTCTAGTTGTCGGCTGAATGACGTTTCGGCTTAAATATTTCACATTTTTATTTGTCTTCTTCTGCTTCTCCATCTGGGTTTTCAATAAAACCTTGTCATCATTCATTGTCAATGTATCATATGTATGAATGTATTCGTTAGTGTCAATGTCCTCATTTGCAGATATTTCTGAGGCAATCAAACTTTCATTTCGTGCTCCAATTCTATCAGCCAGTGCTTGAAATGTATCATCAGAATGTTTTGCCGATTACAAAATGATTTCCCCAAAGATAAAGTGATAAATGAATACGGGGGATAAACAAATAAAAATTGCAGATGAAAAATTTATGAAAGTTCGTTATATCTAGGGTAGTTGTGATGAAGAGACATAAAATTTGGTTCGTAATAACGAGATATCGTTATATCCGGGGTTCGTTATACCGAGAGAATTTTGAAAGAGTTTGTTAGGCAGAATCCAAGGGACCAGACATTTAGTTCGTTATACCGGGAAGTTCGTTATATCCGGGGTTCGTTATATCGGGATTCCACTGTATATGATATTGCCAAAAACGAGATAAAATAAAATTGTTTAATCTTATTACAAGTTTATAAAATCTTTGACATTCTTCAATAAAAATTTGTTCGACATTATCTATGCTTTGTAATGAAAAAACTCTTCCAACATGACATCGTGATCGGCTGGTAAAGATATCCCAATCTTCTTTGCAGTCCACCAAGTGGCACCAAATTTGCCTTTGCACACGGACGGTACTTCAACAAGACAAAATCTTTGATTGGCTTTGCAGCACCATTAGAAATACCTGAGAGAAAAGATTCACAGAAATACATTTTATGACATCATCATTTGAACAATCCTTAGGTTCCACTGTAAAGAGTATTCTTTCATATGCACTTGTGTGAGCAGAGATTCACGCGAATTCTTCCTAATTTTGATACATAACAGGATGACCCAAGATGAACTGCTTTGTAAAAGCGGTTTTGGAGCATTAATGTAATGCTATTTCAATCCGAACAGAACTGGACACCGAGACTAAAACGGCAAACCAAGCTCTGAAAATTGACAATCAAAAAATTGTATCCTTTCTTAAACAAGAAACGAAAAGCACGGTGATTGACGAACAGTCCAATAGATTCATAAAAACGGAATGAAACTCTTTGAAACAAAATGAATAACATGGACGGGCAAACGATCGGAAAAATTCTCACATTATTCGAGAAGCAATTTTCAAGAACTTCTTGCTTTTCAACTGAGCCAACACAATATTTTCAAACTTTTGTCTTTCTCAAGCGTACCACACTCCATTTTTGGAATAAAGGCCTTGATGTGTTCCTTAGTTCAACCCTTGCTTCTTGAGGCACATGTAAGCAAAGTGCATCATCCGCTTCAGCTCTATTTACAATACCCTCCCAGAAAACTTCATGTACCTTCCTTTGTTGTAGGAACTATATGTCAACAAATCTCGCTTGTTGTTCAAATTGAAGAATGCAAAGAGTTCTTTCCGTATGTAATCCACAGGGAATAGACTGATGTCAAATCTATCATGATGACTCAAAAAGATTGTCACTGTCCTGCCCTCCAAAAAACTGATCCTTCCTCAGCTACAACGAAAAACGGATTTTACTTAAATAATCTGTTCAAAATAAAGAGAAGAAAATACTCTTTTCGATAACCATTTCATTTTCTTTCGATGCACAGGAAAAAGTTTCGAATATGAAAGTTCCGCTACCTTCCACTATCTTGTTTTCTTCCAGAAAGCTTTAAAGCACTACAGAATACTGTAAAGATGAACCCTAAACGCATTTTCAACATTTTTACTTCCTCAACAGTAGGCTCTCAGAATTGCAGCCCTTGAAATATTATTTCTTTATTCCTCCTTCCATTTTTACTACTGGCATAAACATTTCACATCCAGCATCATGCCTATGCTAATCAGGTCAATAGAAAACAACTCAATACATGCAATAATCGTCAAGTTAGTGGACACTTTGAAGAGACTCTTCTTTTACCATATTCCCTCTCCCCCTTTCGTCTTCCCAAAGCTCTCTATTTAAAGACATAACCACTGCACATGCTGGTTATGGCTACTCAATACTGACTTCCTCCCACAATCCATTATCTTTCCAACAGACCAATCAATACAAGAGGAATTACTCACCCAGCATACACATCCACGTTTGTACATTGATCCACAAGGGTTCATGAGCAAACAGTTGCTCCCTGTGCCAGCAATCAGAACAATTCCTCTCTTGTCTGTTGCTGTCTCCAAGGATCCCACAGTGTCATTGCATGCAAAGCACGTCTCTGTGGCATTTGGAAATCTTGCAACCAGCTTCTCTTCCATCTCTTTCTGCTCTTCTCTCTTATCAGCACCACTTAGTGACAATCCAAGAGATTTCAGCTTTGTTTCCAATGGTATGCCTGCCTTTTTCTTAGCTACCTCCACAAGTTCATTAATTCTTTCAACTGTTTTGTCTAAACCTGAAAAAATAAAAACAATTGTCAAGTACATAAACATAGTCTACGTTTTCTTTTCTTTGGCCAATTGTACGAACTCGTAGAGAAGGCCTTTATTTATGAAAAATTTTAGGTATAATTTTAACACAGGAGAGTTGAATAGACCTACGAAAAAGCCCAACACATGATTAGCCTGATTTGTATTCACGAGATTTTCGCAAATTTCACAAAAATAGAATATAATTCAACGAATTTAAGATGATTGATGGATAATAACATCTTCTTCATTTAAAATTATAGAAATAAAGGTTCTTCAATCAGGCTATGTAGCATCTCAATTTAGATTTTGATTTTTGATTGGCGTGTAAAAATAAAAAACATGCAACGAGCTTGACGACCAAACCCTTCAAGAAGTAGTCAAGTAGTCAATAAAACTTAAAAGTCACTGAAAATTCCTTGTTTTGCGATAAATAATACAACAATAAGGATAACTAGCATCGATGTTTGCTACATGACCAATACCCGGGACAAATACTAGAAATAAGTACTGCACCGTACAGAAAACGCTATTTTCCAATGCGCCAAATTTTCACGAGCACGACAGTGCGTTTAACCATTTGAGCTATTTGTTTTTTCAAGGTACATTTACTCCATGAGGACAACGTGCCTCGAAATTCCGAATATATATACTTTATCTGAATTCAATGGGGGCGCCAGCCACTAAGCTCTGGGGGCTGGGACAAAACAAAAAATTTAGGCCTCGCCCATTTGCCATCAGAAAACGCCCTTTTACCAACAGCTAACGCCAATCTCATACGAATGGAACGCCTATGACGAACTTTTGGTTATGTAGTTTAAAAATTTAAAAGTTTAAAAATCATGGGACTATTTCACAAAAAGTAAGTTGTCAAAATATTACTCCTACTTGTTGTATTGTTTCCCAAATCATGAAATTTACCCCCTATACTTTACGCCTATACTTCTTAAAACCTTGACTCTTAATTTTTAGCAACAGTATCTTTAATAATAACAATATCCCCAATTTCAAAAAATCCACTGTTTTAGGAATTTAATAATCAAGGTGATTTTGCAAAATGCTCTGGCATACCGCCTATTAAAGATGGATACAATGTTAATTGGTCGTAATTTGTTCGGTGTCATAAGAGTTCTCTTGGAATGATCAACATATCAAAGAAAAAAAGTTCAGGATAGCGGGCCTCTATTTCTCCTAAACCTCATGAAAATGTTAAAAATCAGTTTGCCTGCGAAATGTTCGCATTTCCTTGCCTCCTCTCTAAAGATTTAAGTCGCATTTCTTAAAAAATGTCGGCAAGACATTAATTAAAGTTTCAAAAGCTGTTTTGTTGCTCACTCAGTTCAGGTCATGTTTCTACAAGGGAAATTTAGTTTATAAATCTGAAACATGATTTCATTTCCTTTCAAGGCTACAAAACAAAATTTGTTAACACAAAAGCAAATACCTGATATCAATTTTCTTTATGGCTTTACCGAATTTCCTCAAATAAACGTCTATTTTAAAATGTCTATTTCCCCTAAAGTTTCTCGGTAGAAGCGCCAGCTGCAATTCACAACGAGTTCCAGACCTTATTTAAATTCAAAAGGAATGCGAAAAAAGAAAGGGGGATCTAATTTGACAACTAGTGCCTGCTTGTTACCTGGCTTTAGGAGTAACGCAAGAACATGGGTATTTTCAAGACCACGACGATATTGTACCAATTGTTTTTATCTGCTGTACAGTCCGTTTGCAAAAATAAAAGAACTTTCAGTAGGATTAGGAGGATTGTTTAAGTAAAATTTGCTTAAAAGAGTGCATTTTCCAGGGAACTGGAAGAATCTAAATTCAAAAATTTTATAGTCCTTCGGCGGCACAACTTTGGTGCTGCCTAGGGTAGTAACTAGATTCATTGCCCATCCCGATGTACTGTTTTGACAAAACTATTAGAAAAAGTCCGTCATTATCATAAAAGTCGCAGTTGCGAACTATATACCACATAACTAGATAGACCAAATGTGATTCAGGGGTTCGTGTCAGCAACAAAAGAATTTCAGGTAATTATTTTTTAATTAGGTAAATTCGTAGTCCTTCCCCCTCCATCCACTCCCCCCTCCAACAAAGCTTGCCTCGCGAAGGCCCTGATTCCAACATTAAATATATTTCAATACTACAAACATGCAAATTAGTTTATCATAATATTATTTGTAAAATACATTTAATTATTTATTAAACAACAAGATAAAAAGCCCTCTTAATGTAACAGCATGCTTTACCCTGGGTGCAAAAGCCTAGAGAAATAGGCGATGAGGAAGAAGTGAAAGAGGGAGAGTAGAGGAGGGCGACGATGGACTTTTAAACAAAACAATACATGTGCTGTTCACCTTTATTAATGAAACAGCATAATGTGGTTCTAGGAGAAATAAATGGGCTTCAATGAATTTTGCGAATGAAGAAATGTGAATTTTTGTAACTCAAAGAACTTTTTAGCTTGTAGGTGAATTAACGTTAAAAGCAGCCTCTGCCTACAAAAAAATTATCAAATAAAAAGTAGCTTGGTTTCCTGGTTGCTATACTGTTAATAACGAAGTGAGGCTCCTTCCTATCCAGGATTCCTTCCTATCCTCGCAGAACTTCTTACGGCCAGAACAAACTCTTTGCATCAACTTCCTTTTTATGTACGAAAAGTGAGTACAAACGTATAGGATTGGTTATTAAACTAAATTCAGTATTCTGGGAAGGAGGTTTAATGAAAACTTTGTAGTAGCGGGAATTTCGCCATTTTAAGGGGTACTTTTTCAATATCAAAAATGCGGAATGATCGGTAAAAATTTTCACAAAAGGTGCAGTACACATAATAAGGGTGACTAAATTTTCCTTTAATTAATGCCTAGTTTGAGTTTGGCAAGAATTCCAAATGCAATTTGACGTCCAGGAATCGAATAAAAGTAGTGCTCAATACTAAAGTGTCTGCAAATTACAGCTGAGATCTTACGTTTATTAATTATTGAAAACTTAAAACAACTATATAGGTGTAAAATTGGAGAAAAAATAAGGGCTAAAAGTAAAAACTAGATGAAATCGTCAAAATGTAATTTAATGTAATCAATAGAAAGTTCTTTACAAGGAATTAAAAGTTGCATTACTGGAATGATTTCGACTTACCTGCGCTTCGTCATGACCGTGAAATTGAATTCCAGGTGAAATATTTATGACGTCATTTTCGCCCAACGCCCATTGAAAATCAGAATTCACTCGGTCACTTTGTCTATTACTCCGTAATTGAATGAATTCGTTTTATATTTTGCGTACCCATTAATACTATCGAAAACGGAATCATTAGATACAAAACGGGAACCATTCGAAAACGGAGTCGTTTGAAAACGGTGTCATTCTTTCTCAAATTCAAAACGAGTCCGAACGAGGAATAGGAAAACAGGCAAAAAGACGATGCTAAGAATGAGTACTTGCGTACCACAGCAAATAGCTTGGGAGAACCAAACCAGAAATGGTGTATATCAAGGTACCAACTTTATTAGAATAATATGTCTATTTCACTAAATTATGTCTATTTATAGGGAAGTGATTGCCTTACAAAATCTCGAAGGATGTGCTGGAGTTGCAATAATTAGCCAACAAGTAGACAAATTACAATTAGCTGTTGATGAGGGGAATCTGCTTGCCTATTCCAATGAGGTGTATAGAATACGCTAGAGGGTCAACTCGAGGCAGCCCTGACCACAAGAAGTGAAGCCAGGAGAAATCTCATTTGCACGGCAAGAACGGAGAAGTGCCGTACAAACACTTGAATGAAACGTGCAATATTAAGCAAAGAATTCAGGCGAAAATTCAGTTTTAAGTGATTAAACTGGAAAATCTGAAACACCTACGAACCTAAATTATTGGATTTTAAGGAAAATGGGAAAGTAAAGCATAATTCTGGACATTAACAGTGATGGTACC